GTAGTCCTCAAGGAATTTACAACTGCTTTATGGTCTGTGCTTTTCTAGAGGCAAAAAGCAGGCTTAGCTTGACAATAGACAGATTTCCGGAATCCATTGAGTTTCTTTTACCTATGAAAATCCCTTTTGATACTTACATTTCTACCCTTCCTCAACTTAACCTATATAATCAGTGGTTCCTCAGAATTACCCTGCAGCTCATTCTTTCCACATACCCTGTCCCTGTGCTTTAATAAGATCAGCCTCATTCACCAAAAAGGCCTCAGGAATACTTTCTTGAGCATTTACTTATTACTGGCCAACCTTAGGTCAGTTTCCATGGAGGTAATGAAGGCTCTGTTTTGTGTAGTAGATCTAATGACCTCTGGGGATGGAGGTTCTAAATCAGACCTCCACCCCATCGGTTTTTATGTCACTACATAGTCATGGTACAGACATACTCTTCTATGTACTTCTTTGTGTTTTCAGAAAGAGAAGAATCACAGAATTCACTTGTTTGAGCATCTTAAAATTCCAGAGTACCATAGGGCACAAATGATGATTGAAACAATAGCTTTCAATGAGGGGCGCCTGGGTGGCTCAGTCAGTTAAGTTTCCACTCTTGATTTCAGTGCAGTTCATGATCTCGAGGTTCATGAGCTAGAGCCCCATGTCAGTCTGCAGCTGACAATGGCAGCCCTCTTGGGATTCTCTCTCTCTCTCTTTCTCCCTCTCTTCCTGCATGCAGCTGCTCTTTCTTTTTCAAAGATAAATAAACAAACATAAAAAACAAAGGCTTTCAATGTGTCTCGGTGGATCAGTTGGTTAACTATCTGACTCAACTCAGGTTATGATTTCATGGTTCATTAGTTCAGTCCCACATCTCTCTCTCAATGCTCCTCACAGAATTTTCTTTCTTCCCCTCCCTCTCCACCATTTGTACCTTCTCTCAATAAAAAAAATTAAAAATCTAAAAAAAATAATAAAATAAAATGAAAGATTTCCAAGAAATATTAAGTTACAGGTTCATTAAGTATTACGGTCAAGATACTATTATTGAGCTACTGTAGGATACAAAACAGGTAATTTATTGAAGTAGAAGAGGGACAGGACCCATGGATGGAAAGCACTCTACTTTCGCTGCAGGTCACTTATGTTCATGGGGGAGGGTAGGTGCACAGAGTATTCAATCACAAACCTTTTTTTAAATTTGTACTTGTTCTTTTTTTATAATTTTTTAAAAAATAAGTCTTTTCTGAGAGAGAGAGAGAGAGAGACAGCATGAGCAGGGGAGGGTCAGAGGGAGAGGGAGACACAGTATCTGAAGCAGGCTCCAGGCTCTGAGCTGTCAGCACAGAGCCGAATGCGAGGCTTGAACCCACGAATCTTGATATCATGCCCTGAGCCAAAGTGGGACACTTAACCGACTGAGCCACCCAGGCGCCCCTGAAATTTCTACTTCTAAAACTACTTCTCCAGGATTTCTCTGGTTCTTATCTTTCCGTTCAATATTAACAATTGGTGAGACATATCGACAGTCATAAGACCCTTTAAAAAATGCAACATCCAGGGGCACCTGGGTGGCTCAGTCACAGCTTAGAGCTGGCTGGGGATTCTTTCCATCTCTTTCTCTCACCCCCTTTTACACCATGCTTGCCCATGCTCTCTCTCACAATATAAATATACATAAAAAAGAAAAAAAAGAATGAAGGAAGGAGTCTTTAGTTGATGCTTCCCAAAAGTAGGCAGGCTCTAGGTCAGGCTTCTACGGTGAAGGGGAACATATTTCTCTTTGTAGCCCCCATCATAGAAGTCTCAGAAATAGAAACTGTTCTATTTATATCGTTCTACGTGTTTGTTTTGATAGTGTGAGTAAAAGACCTAAGCATTGTCATCTACGACTAAATTGAGGAGTTTCATGCCATTGAAATGTTTTGTATTTGGTTGTTTTTATTTATTTTTGAGAGAGACAAGGAGGTGAAATGAAGGAAAGAGAGGGAGAGAGAGAATCCCAAGCAGACTCCACACTGTCAGCACAGAGCCAGAGGTGTGGCTTGAACTCAGGAATCATGAGATCATGATCTGAGCTAAAATTAAGAGTTGGACATCTAAATGACTAGGCCACCCAGCAACACATTAAAACTGGTTTATAGGGGGACCTGGGTGCCTCAATTAGTTGAGCATCAGACTTTGGCTCAGGACATGATCTTTCGGTTTGTGGGTTCAAGACCTGCATCGGGCTCTGGGCTTACAGCTCAGAGCCTGGAGCTTGCTTCAGATTCTGTGTCTCCCTCTCACTCTGCCCTTTCCCTGCTCACACTCTGTCTCTCTCTCAAAAATAAAAATTAAAAAAAGATAAAACTGGTTTTTAGTCTCCCTGGTAATTTTCTACTGTATCACTTTTAATGATATATAAGTAATTTCAAAATGTATGGATGTGTGCTTGGAATGTATAAAGGTAAATCAAGTTTTTAAAAAAATTTAATGTTTTATTTATTTCTGAGATAGAGATAGTATGAGAAGGGGATGGTCAGAGAGGGAGGGAGATACAGAATCTGAAACAGGCTCCAGACTCTGAGCTAGGTGTCAGCACAGAGCCCATTGTGGGGCTTGAACCCTGATCCATGAGATCATGATTTGAGCTTCATTTGGATGCTTAACAGACTGAGCCACGCTGGCACCCTAAGGTAGATCAATTTGTGTGCATACCTTTATACTGTCATTGTTATCAGGTTTGACACCTACTATATACATTGATTTAGGTTTCTTTGTGTATATTGATCTGTGTGTCTTTTTAGATCAGCTCTAGGTCAGTTAACCTGAGTTAAAACCTGATCATACTATGTACCAGATGTTTGACAAAACATTCACTAAAACTAGAAAAACAGAGTCTTTCGGGGCGCCTGGGTGGCTTAGTTGGTTAAGCGTCTGACTTTCGCTTGGGTCATGATCTGCGGTTCGTGGGTTCAAGCCCCGCGTCGGGCTCTGTGCTGACTGCCAGCTCAGAGCCTGGAGCCTATTTCAGAGTCTGTGTCTCCCTCTCTCTCTGACCCTCCCCTGTTCACACTGTCTCTCTCTCTCTCCTAGAAATAAATAAAAATATTAAAAAAAAAAAGTCTTTCTTCTCTTATATTATTATTTTTTTTCCATGAATTAATGAGACTGTCAGATGCTCAATACTAACCAGGAAATGCTTGGAAAACCTTGTAGCCTTTCTTGCTATTGTAGTAGTACCTGTATTGCTATAAAACCCACTCAGTTCCAAGTCCTCCAGAGATCTTGTAGTTCTTCCTCTGTGTTCCTGAAATACGAATCCCTTGACCCATAGACTATGGCCTTGTTAGAAATGCAGACACCTTTCCCAGAACTCCTGAACAGAATCTGCATTTTAATAAGATCCAATGCACTGTTGTAAATTCTAATTTATGTTAGAATATGCAAGTATATTTGTAACTCACCAACACTTTCCACTAAGAAATAGACACCACATGGCTCAGTCGGTTAAGCATTGGACTGCAGCTCAGGTCATGTTCTCTAGGTTTGTGAATTTGAACCCCACGTTGGGCTCTGTGATGACAGCTAAGAACGTAAAACTCGCTTTGGATTTTGTGTCTCCAAAGAGTTTTAGCTCTCTCTGCTCCAACCCTGCTCATGCTCTGCCTCTCTTTCAAAAATAAACAGTCACAAAATATTTTTTTAAACTGAAACCATATGTACTGCATGATATAAATACAGGATTCAAAAATGTGTATGTCTCTGTTGACCCATTCATTTTACAAATTCTCTTGAATAAACATAATATTTATTTGGTTCATAACTCAAAGTTAAAGAATATCTAAGATCAAAATACTGTGCTACAAACTGTCTTACAGTAGAAAGTAAGAAACTCCTCTAAGCCGGAACCAGTTCTCCTAATATAACTGAACAAATAGGAGTTTAGTCCATGGTGAATCCCAAAAAAGTATACCAGGTGGAGATGGGAGACAAAGGAAAATTGATTTACAGGAAATAAGGAGATCACAGGGTATAACTTCCAAATTGGAGACTCACAGAAGAGGGGAGATCTTTTCCCTTTCTTTGGGTTTGTTTTTAGTTTTTTAAAATTTATTTGAGAGACAGAGAGGGCAGCGGTGTGGGGGGGGGCGGCAGAGAGAGAGAGAGGGAGAGAGAGAACGTCAGAGAGTTCTGCACCATCAGCACAGAGCCTGATGCAGGGCTAGAACTCATAAACTTTGAGATCATGATCTGAGCTGAAACCAAGAGTCAGACAACTGAGCCCGAGGGGCAGCTCAGAATGGTTTCCTTGTATTTAGGGTTAGGGTGGATATTTAGAAAGGAGAGTCTGTGGATAAGTTGGCCAATGAGACTTCAGATGACAGTTGTATACATTCTCTGTGTGTTACATATTAAATGACATTTGTGCTCCTCCTTGGGTAGAGATTTTAGTATTATAATTAGGTAAAAGGGAGCTTCTGGGTGGCTCAGTCTCTTTAGCTTCAGCCTCTTGCTTTAGGCTCAAGTCACGATCTCACAGTTTTGAAATCCACCTAACTCAAGGTCTTTCCTGAGCACGGAGCCTGGTCGAATTCTTGTCTCTGCCACACCCATACTTGTGCTCTCTCTTTGAGGAAAAAAACCTTTAAAAATAAATATAATGAGATAATGGTAACTATCCTGACTCCATGCTCTTTTCTGATATTCATCTGCATAGATGGGAGTCAGGGGTTAAGCTCAAATTGGACCATTTCAAGCTCTTATTCAGGGCAGGCATTACCGGCTTTTGGATACTTTCTGTTCCTACAACAGGACACTGTGCCCACAGGGTGTTTTCCTTGAAGTAAAAGGGAGGTGTAAATAAGAGGCTAAGTACAATGAGGGACTAAGGTCAGTGAGCACATGCAGGTAAGCCATGAAGATCAGGTCGTGGGGTTCAGCCGGTGACATTAACTTTCTCATAGGTACCATAGGTGTCATTATGACCTCCTCATGTGTCCACTTGGTAACTGTGGTGTTTGTTGCAGGGACTGCTGACCTTCAGGGATGTGGCCATAGAATTCTCTCAGGAGGAGTGGGGACGCCTGAGCCACAGTCAGCGGGATCTGTACAGGGATGTGATGTTAGAGAACTATGGACACCTCCTCTTTTTGGGTGAGGATGACTCCTTCCAGATTTCCCAAACCACACTCAGGGGTTTTGTTCGTTCCTTTGAAGACTGTCTCTTAGGATCTTTCTCCTTGCATGATTGAGATTCAAATCCCTACAGTAAGGGAAAGAAGTAGGGGTTTTTAGATGTAGAGAAAAATCTTCATGATGTTTCCTTTCGGATGAGTTTTCCCTTCCTTAGAGTATCATCATCATTTCTTAGATTAATGGCAATTCTAAACATTGGGTGGCATTAAATGGTATTTCCATCTTCGATACGAATTTCTACCCATTATGGTAGTGGTAATAGTCGGAAGTGGAGATCACGATGCGAACCTTGGAAATCTCTCCTGTTTTCCAAAGGGACTGTTGGGCAATCGTATTTGGAATGATGTTCCAGAATTCTAGAATGTCCTCTCTTCTCTACTGAGGCCAATACTGGTTTGAAAGGTAGAATCCCCAGCAATATTTCTATTCCGTTGTTCTAACTAACAGGTCTTGTTGTGTCAAAGCCGGCCGTGGTCATTTTTTTGGAAGAAAAGAGGGAGCTATGGGATGTGAAGAGAAAGGACACAGTAGCCTCATGCCCAGGTAGGTGGGAATGAAGGAAGCAGATGACAGAGATGAGGTCCCAATGTGATGGAGGAAGACAGACCTTAAAATGTGGTTTGAGCAGCCCTTCTTGAATGGAAATTAGTTTGAGAAACCTAGTTTCATGTCTCTCCATCTTACAGAGGGACATGTGCTTTCCAACACACCCCACTCTCACATTCTCTAAGGATTCTTCTTCAGTGTCACCAAAGGTCCTTCACATCCACAGTGAGGGCCCCCTTATCTCATTGGTTCTCCATTGCTTTGAGGGTTTGGGGAAATCTCTGTAGTTCTGAGGAAGTCTGTTCGTTCATGTCTGAGTATTTGCCTTGTGTGAGAAGTGTGTCAGGGTAGTGGGTGGTTTATTGGGGTTTGGTGCAGAAATCCCAGGAACACTGGGGACAGATACCACCTGTTACCTGGTTCATGGTTTCCAATATATGGAGGCTTTAGTCTTAATTGTACAAAATTGAGACCCACTAATTTCATGAGATATTAAAGCACCTCCCTAGGGGCGCCTGGGTGGCTTAGTCGGTTAAGCGTCCGACTTTCGCTTAGGTCATGATCTCGCGGTTCGTGGGTTCGAGCCCCGCGTCGGGCTCTGTGCTGACTGCCAGCTCAGAGCCTGGAGCCTATTTCGGAGTCTGTGTCTCCCTCTCTCTCTGACCCTCCCCTGCTCACGCTGTCTCTCTCTCTCTCTCTCCTAGAAATAAAATTTAAAAAAAATATTAAAAAAAGAAAACACCTCCCTAAAATGAGAAAATCTAACCCTTTTTTTCCACTTCAAAAGGTCAGTTTTAAGGGCACATGGGTAGATCCATTGCCAAAGCATCTGACTTCAGCTGAAGTCATGATCTCCCAGTCAGTGAGTTAGAGTCCCACACAGGGTTCTGTGATGACAGCCCAGTGCAAGTTTGGAGTTTTGTGTCCCTCTCACTCTGCTCTTCCCCTACATGGTCTTTTTCTATCTCTCTCAAAATAAATTAAAAGAAGCTTAGAAAAAGTTAGAAAAGTTTATTTTTTGATGATATTATCTAAGATAACAAATTTCCACTATATATGTTCCATTCCTTAATGGTAAAATCTCCGATTTTTTTCTAGAATTTATACATAAAGTAATGTCCTAAGGGTGATAGAACATTTAGAATTCAAAACGTGCAGGGGCACCTGGGTGGGTCAGTAAGTTAAGCGTCCAACTTCGGCTCAGGTCAGGATCTCACAGTTAATGGGATCGAGCCCTACATCGGGCTTCTTGCTGACTGCCAGCTCAGGGCCTGGAACCTGTTTCAGATTTGTATTTCCCTCCCTCTCTGACCCTCCTCTGCTCACTGTCTCTGTCTCTCTGTCTCTCAAAAATTAAAAAAATAAAATAAAATAGAATTCAAAACTTGTAGCCCATAATAAAATCTCAATTGTTACATTATTTCTTAATAATTAAATGACTTCATAATATTGTCCTGTATAACATAAAGCTCCTCTGACTATGTCATATGTGTTCTCACTTTCTGAGTAGTTATATATGAGATTACATTATGATCTATTTTATCAAACTATTTTTTAATTTTTTGTAATGTTTATTTTTGAAAGACAGAGCAAGCAAAGGAGGACAGAGAGAGTGACACACAGAATCTGAAACATCCTCCTGGCTCTGAGCTGACAGCACAGAGTCCGCCCCGGGGCTCCATCTGTCTGAGCCGAAGTCAGAGGCTAGACCTACTGAGCCCTCTAAACTCCCTGTGGCCATAATACTATCTCTGACCGTGCACCCATGAAAAAAGGCAGAGTTTGAATTATTGGCATGTCTTCCTGCACAGGAAAATTGTAAAGTATATTCATTAATATCCACCGCAAAAAGCTGTAATGAAAGCCCTTATGAATTAAGCACTTAACAGACATTATTACACAGAATTTAAGGACATAATCCATTTTTTAGAATCAAGCCAGCAAAAAAATTTTCATTTAAGTTTTTTTTTTTTTTTGCATGTATTTTGAGAGATGGAGAGAGAGAGTGGAGGAGGAACAAAGAGAGAGGAGAGAATTCCAGGCAGGCTCCACACTGACAGTGAAGAGCAGGATGTGGAGCTGAAACATATAAAAAATCAGATGATGGCCTGAGCTGAAACCAAAAGTCACATGCTTAACCCTTGGAGCCACCCAGGAACTCCAAAACTAAACAAAGAAACACCATCAAATTGTAAAATCTGTGAAGAATAACTTTATAAAAGTATTATTTGGGATTAAATTCAGATACAATCTGAGTGACCTAGAAAAAATAATGATTCGAGGTGCCTGTGTGGCTTAGTGAAGTGTCAGACTTCAGCTCAGGTCATGATCTCACAGATTGTGGGTTTGAGTCCCCCATCATGCTCTGTGCTGACTGCTCAGAGACTGGAGCCTGCCTCAGGTTCTGTGTCTCCCTGTCTCTCTGCCCCACCTCCTCTCATGCTCTCTCTCCCTCTGTCAAAAAATAAACAAACTGTGGGACGCCTGGGTGGCTTAGTCGGTTAAGCGTCCAACTTTTGCTTAGGTCATGATCTCGCAGTTCGTGGGTTCGAGCCCCGCATCGGGGTCTGTGCTGACTGCCAGCTCAGAGCCTGGAGCTTATTTCAGAGTCTGTATCTCCCTCTCTCTCTGACCCTCCCCTGGTCACACTGTCTCTGTCTCTCTCTCTCTCCTAGAAATAAATAAAAAATATTTTAAAAAATAAAAAAAGAAAAAATAAACTGTAAAGTAGATAAAAAATAAAAGAAAAAGAAAAATGATTTTTTTTTCTGAAGTTAAAGTTTTTTCAGTTTTGTGTATAAGAAATTTTCATTGTATTCATCTGATAGTAGAGAGTGAGGGACACCTGGGTGGCTCAGTCGGTTAAGCATCCGAGTTCAGCCCAGGTCATGATCATCCGGTTCGTGGCATCAAGCCCCGCATCGGGCTCTGTGCTGACAGCTCAGAGCCTGGAGCCTGTTTCCAATTCTCTGTCTCCTTCTCTTTCTGACCCTTCCCTGCTCACACTTTCTCTCTCTTGGAAATAAACAAAACATTAAAAACAGAAAGTGGAATGATTTTACTTTCATTCTGTACCTTTCAGCAGTATCTTCAAATGCTAACGAGAGCCTTCTTCCAAAGACGTTCATAGAAACTTCTTTTCAAAATGTTTCAGTGGGTATATATCAACATAGTGCCCTTGAGAATGGACACTTAGTGACAGGCTGGAAGAAGGATGGGAAGAGAGAAGGGCATCAAAGCTATCTGGAGACTCCTTTTCCAGAGAATGATTATGAATGTAATAAATATGGGTATGTTTTTTATCAAAGCACCAACCTTATTGTACCTAAGAGTATACATTTGGGAGAGAATCCTTCTAAATATAATGAATGTGGGCAAATTGCTAGCATGTCCTCCAATGTTGGTGATCATCAGAGAATTCATGTGGGAAAAAATCCATGTACATGCAATGAATCTGGGGACATGCTTAGTCAGTCATCAAGACTGCATATAAATAAGACAATCCATACTGCACATAAAGATTACATTTGTAAGGAGTGTGGCAAAGCCTTCAGCTGGCACTCAGCACAAATTCAGCATCACCGAGTGCATACTGGAGACAAACCAGTGAAATGTGAAGATTGTAGTAAAACTTTTAATTATGGCTCATCAGTAAATGGACATAGTCCAATCCTGACTGGAGAGAAACCTTACACACATAAAAATTGTGGAACGGCCTCTACCCAACGCTCACATCTTACTGAACATCACAGAACCCATACTGGAGGGTAATCTTACCAATGTAAAGAATGTGGAAAGGCCTTTACCTCCATGGCAAACCTGTACATACATCACAGAATCCATACTGGTGAGAAAACTTACCAATGTAAAGAATGTGGAAAGGCCTTTAGCCATTTCTTCGTCCTTCAACAACATCACAGAATCCATACTGGAGAGAAACCTTGCCAATGTAAAGAATGTGGAAAGGCCTTTAACCAAATGTCAAACCTGTACAAACATCACAGAATCCATACTGGTGAGAAACCTTATCAATGTAAAGAATGTGGGAAGGGCTTTAACCAAACCTCAAACCTTTACAGACATCACAGAATCCATACTGGAGAGAAACCTCACCAATGCAATGAATGTGGCAAGGCCTTTATCCAACACTCACACCTTATTCAACATCACAGAATTCATACTAGATTGAAACTTTACAAATGTAAAGAATATGGCCAGATCTTTAACTGACCCCTACACCTTACTTGATAGCACTGAATTCATACATGAACAGAAACCTTGATAAAAACCAATGAAAAGGACATAGTTAGGTCTTTCATCAGTCTTGAATCTAAATTTACTCATCTCAGAATTCATACTGGAGCAAATCTTTCAAATTTAAGGAATGTGAGAAACATTTTGTGGACTGTTCATGCCTTGCATCACATAGGAAAATTTATCCTGGTGAATAACCACTGAATACTAAAGAGTGTGGCAAGGCTTTCAAGTGTGGCAAGGTAAAATACTGACTCCTGATCAGAGACTGAATACTGGGGAGGATTTTGCAAATATAAAGTATTTGGGAAGTCTGTTCATCAGAGGTGAAGCTTCATTCTTCATCACAGAATTCATACTGAAGAAAAATCTTAAACTGTAAAAGAAAATGGTAAAACCTTTATGACTGCTCAACCTTGGTATCACAGACTTTATGACAAGGAGAAACATTACAATGGTAAAGAATGTGTCCATCCTATAGCTGGACCTCACAACTTGATCCATATCATAGCTAACTTACAGGATAGAAAGTAACATGTACAGAAAAAAAAGCGCTTATAAGTGCAATTTGATCCTTAATCAATATCCAAAAGTTCACATGAGATTTATATTGTACAGACATAATGAGGAAAGGCCTTCAATTAAATGTACGCTTTAGCAAACCCCAGACCGTGCATGAAAGAAGGTCACTTGAAGGATATAAGTATTTGGAAAAATATTGAACTGAACATCAGCTGTCAATAAGTGTTACAGAATCCACAGTAGAGACTAGTATATCAGACTGTATTCAGACATTCATCAACATACTGATAAGGACTAATACAATGTTAAACATAATGTATATGCTATTATGCCTCAAGAGTTTAATTCAATCAATCTTTTAAATGATTTTTATTTTTTAAGGAGAGCAGGAGCTGGGAATGGGGAGAGAAAGTGGGAGACAGTCCAAAATACGCTCTGGGCTCTGAACAATCAGCATAGACCCCAACCGGGGGTTATACTCATGAACTGCAAGTTCACTACCTGAACCAAAGGTTCATGCTTAACCAAGTGAACCACCCAGGTGCCCCTCAATAGATCAATTATTGCATAGGTATCATTAATTTCAGTCTGTGCTCTTTTTGTCACATCAACCTTCTGTGACATTTGTGACTAGAAAATAGTGTATTTCTATTCTCAAAATACTTCCAATATTCATTTATTCTGAGTGGCTTTGGAAAATTATGTGGCTGATTATTGGTGCATCAAAGACATGACATGCCCTTCTTCATTAGGCGTGACTCATGACTCATTCTCCATGGAAGATGAAGGGGAACATAATACACCATATACAGAGAAAATCTACATGGAGATGCTGTTGGTGATATATTGATGCAAGTTCTCATGAAAAGGTGTTCAAAACATCATTCTTTTCCCTGTATTAAAGCTAAAATCTTATTGAATATTACAAATAAAATAATTTCCCAATTGGTTTTTAAGGAAAAAAGACTCGGCAGTGCAGTGAAACACTGGTATATTTTCACTACAGCAAGAGTTAGAGAATGTCAGTTGATGTGGTTGAAATGATGAAATGGTCATAGAGATTCAAAAGGGCATTATTAACTCTTCACCAAGGTAGTATACAATTATAAATACAGAGTTTTCAAGAAAGACTCAGGCCTGAAAATTATGGAAGTCTGTATTCCCACATCATTTTATCAAGAAATACTTTCTGAAGGCTTGCATTCTAGATACTGAACAATGTTAATAGGATGGTTAATAAAACAGTTGTTTTAATGAGTTTACATGAATGTGTAGAGAGTGAAGTGTTATTTCATCGCCAGTGTTAAGGTATCTCATGTGATTAAACTGTAGGAAAGGGATGGAAAGTAAGAAAATGTGAAGATGTCTTTCCACTGTAAGGTGGGAACCTGAAGTGGCTCCCTTTTTGGAACTGCAGAGTCACAGGCAGCGCTTGGTCGCATCTGATGAATAAAAGTCATAGAGATGGAATTGACAAATCTGGGATTCTGAGGACGAGGGAAGTGCCATTTCATCTTCATGATTTAACTGAGTTCCTGTGTGTTACTGAGGACCAGATGCTCTAAGATGACAATGATGCCTGTGATGCTCAGGTCTTGGTCAGTGGCAGTTATGGAGGAGGGCATATTGGATGATGTAAATCACTAAGGGTATTGCTGTAAAATGTCACACGTTACAGTAGGTATTGGAGATGACGCTCAAAGGGCCTGGACACAGTGGGATAGGTTCAGAGACAGGGACCCGATGAGATTTATTAGAAACACCTATTATTTGACCCGTTTTCATTCTCTGAAGCAGGGGCTGTAGACAACCTACAAAGCCACATAGGGAGTAGGGAGTTTTTAAAGGGGCGTCACAGAACTCCTGAGCATTGACATGCAGGGGAAGCAGTGGTACAGTGCTGAATCATTCTCCATATGACCTCAGGACTTGCTGGCATCAGAAAAGGCCACTTTGCTACCATGGTCAAACTTGAATTTCTAGGAACATTGGGATCCTTGTTTCCCCAGCAACAGTGGCCTGTTGAAATCTCAAAGAAGCTACAAGTAGTCAAGCCATAAGCTAGAGAGCATAGGTCAGTGTGTTAGATGTATGTACCCATGACAGTGCTTGGAACAGGTATAGTCTGAGAAAGTCTGTATTTGTAAAGTAACAGACACATCATTAAGGTAGTTTTTATGGAGCTTTTAGTCTGCACACACAGCTTTTACTCACGAGGTGCTGTGCTGGGTACCTCAGGAATGTGTATGTGAGTTAACCTCATACTTTAGGACTTAAAATGGTTGTCCACCATTTCCTTCAGAAATACTGCTGTCCCCTACTTTTCTGTTTCTTTTTCTCCCATAACATTGATTGTATAAAAGAGGAGCCAAATATGGTTTGGAAGAATATACGAAAGCATGAACTGGAACCTCAGAGGAAGTTCTCATTGCTGACTAAGAAGCACATTGGCATGTGACAAACAAGAGAAATTAAAATCTAATAGTATATGAAAGGAGTCTCCAGAAATACAAGAAAACTGCATAGGAAAAGTATATATGTCTTTGAAGAGGAGAGAAGGAGGAGGAGAATGAAGTGGGGGAGAGGAAAGAAGGCAGGAAGAAGGGAGGAGGGAAGAACAGAAGTCTGGGGCCTCCGAGGGAAAGTATGTAATTCACAGGAAGATGAAAAGTAAGTGTTTGAGGGGTGCCTGGGTGGCTTAGTCGGTTAAGCATCCGACTTTCACTTAGGTCATGATCTCGCGGTTCGTGAGTTCGAGCCCCGCATCGGGCTCTGTGCTGACTGCCAGCTCAGAGCCTGGAGCCTGTTTCAGAGTCTGTGACTCCCTCTCTCTCTGACCCTCCCCTGCTCACGCTGTCTCTCTCTCCTAGAAATAAATAAAACTACTTAAAAAAAAAGTGTTTAATAAGCAAATATTTTCTGGGCCGCTCTAAAACAGTAGGACATAGAAAACTTTGTTCACATGGTCCTTCCTGGGCTCCTCCCTGTTGTGACCATACCTAGCTTGTATCATAATGTAGTCCCGTGTGGTGAGTGCTCTGATCCTGGGCAGCTTTTCTATGTATATTATTTTTTAGAGAGGCAAGTGAAAAGTAAACATTCTTCATGAATCTGCTTAATTTTGATTGCTTATTAACACCAAATGATGTTTCTGCCAAAGTGGCCCATCAGAGAAGAGCCTGGGTGTGACTCATAGAAACTGTAGGAGATTTTGTTCAGTTTTGGTTCAGGTCATGACCTTGTGGTTCATGAGTTCAAGCCCCGTATTGGGCTCCCATGCTTACGTTGTGGAACCTGCTTGGGATTCTTGCTCTGTCTGCTCCTCTCCCACTCATGCTTTCTCTCTTTTGCAAAATAAATAAACTTTAAGAAAAATGTTGAAGTAAGTGACGGTCATCAAAGCATGGAGTAGAATGTTGTCAACTACTGAGGGTGAAGGAAATGTTGACATGATACTGGCATCTCGAGGTTACAGCAGGGAGAGCTCTCAAGCCCTATCAATCAGAGTGAATGGCAGACTCAACAGGAAGAAAATGTCTTTAGCTTCCACAAACTCGACCTTCGAGGTACGTTATACTCTACTATTCCAGCCGGAGGAAGACATGTTTCTGTATCTTTCCCAGGCAACAGCACAACCACTGAAAACCCACATTCCTTCAAACTATCATTTTACTACAAAGACCTTTTAGTTGATAAAAGACTTTTCAACATATCCCTTTTCTCCATAAATTCAGGCCTCTTTATTCCCTGAACTCAGCTATGCTTTTTCATCAGCCTGTTTGTCACCAGTTCCAAATTCTGTTATTCCAGAATGAACCCATGTTTTGGTGGATAAATACCTGGCAGTGATTATTTTTAGGTTAAATGTAACAAGGTTCACATTTGTAGGAAGAATAAATATGGGATTTCTGTTGTATAGCATAATCTATATCCTGATCATCTTCATCTATATCTAATGATATTTATATCTATACCAAAGAAGTGGTAGATTCCATCTCTTATCTACATTCTTAAATAAGGTGAAGTAGGTTAATAATGGTGGCAGGATAATCCATTATTCTTTACATACAAATATTAACATATTAAACACCTATATGTTGTATTTTTTAAAATATATGAAGATTACACAGACTCAGTTATGTTTTTCAAACGCATTGTATCATCCTTGTTCAAAATAAAGACTACAAACATTTGAGAAGCATTCTTGTTCTCAGGCTTGTGGGTGACTCAGTTGTTTCAGCATCCGACTTTGGCTCAGGTCATGATCTCATGGCTGGCGGGTTTGCATCCAAGAGTGGCTCTGTGCTGACAGCTCAGAGCCTCCTCCAGATATTCTGTTTCCCTCTCTCTCTGTCCCTCCCCCACTTGTACACTGTCTTTCTCAAAATAAATATTAAAGGGGCTCCTGGGTGGCTTAGTCGGTTGAGCGTCCGACTTTCTCTTAGGTCATGATCTCGTGGTTCGTGAGTTCGAGCCCCGCGTCGGGCTTTGTGCTGACTGCCAGCTCAGAGCCTGGAGCCTGTTTCAGTCTGTGACTCCCTCTCTCTCTGACCCTCCCCTGCTCACACTTTCTCTCTCTCTCTCTCCTAGAAATAAATAAAACATAAAAAAAAAAAATTAAAGAATGAAAGAAGCATGCTTGTTCCAATATGATGACCTAGGAGTAATAATTTCAATAATTTTCAGGAGTGAAATAATTAAGAAATATCAATGTACATTCATATGCCCTTTTGGGAAAGAGTTAGGTATCCTTTACTGACATCTGTGATGTCTTCTTCATTGCATCCAGTTCAAGTAGTATTCTCTACTTCTATCCATTCATATTGTAGAGATAGATTTGTATTTTTTAAATTTAAATCTGTTTTTTAAAATTTCTTAAATCTTTATTTATTTTTTAGAGAGAGACCGAGAGAGACAGAGTGTGAGCAGGGGAGAGGCAGAGATAGAATCTGAAACTGCATCCTGGCTCCGAACGGTCAGCACCCAGCCTGATGCAGGGCTTGAATCCACAAACTCTGAAATCATAACCTGAGCAGAAGACAGATGCTTAACCGACTGAGCCCTGCAAGCGCCCCTATTTTTTTTTATGAGTTTTTAAGATTTTATTTTAATTCCAGTTAGTTAACATAGTGTGTTATATTATCTTCAGGTGGACAATACAGTGATTCAACAATTCCCTACATCACCCAGAGCTCTTTACAACAGGTGGATTCCTCAATTCCCAACAACTATTAATCCAGTCCTCTCTCCCCACCAACACACACCTCTTTCTGATGACCATATCTATAATAAAGGGTTCAATTTTGATTTGTGTCAATCTCTCTCTACTATCACATAATGATTAAATTACAAGTGGAAGAATGAACTATAGGCTTTCTAAAGGGTGTTCTTATTGCCCTTCTGATGTCTCATTATACTAATTCTAATGGGATGTCTCTTTTCCTTTGTTTTCTCCTGTTGTGATATGTGCAAGCAGTTTTTTTACTTCTTTACCCAAAAACATGTTGTCTACTATAGAAAACAGATTCATCCCAGTGTTCCCTCTGCAGTTTACAATAACGACCTTCTGTAATAGTTAAACGTAGGAACAGAGGGGGACGAATTTTGGTCCATAGGTTGGGACATCCCGACAACCCCTGTCATCTTGAGGAAGTTACAGAAGATGAACCCTTCACCCTTCAACAACCTTAAAGATTTCAGGACCAAAAATTGGTCAGGGGTGAAGTAAAGAGGGATGGAAATACAAAAGTGTTCTCCTTTAGCCCAGAAGGTGGACCTATAGCCTGCACAGTTTTGAGAAGATCAATTATGTACTGGCTGCACATCCTTAATGGGTCTCATGACTGCCTGTATGTGTCACCGAACATCAAACTGAATATCATATCAAACTGAATGAGAAGCACCAGAGAAATCTTGGAATAGTATCTTAGGAGAAGCAATTTGAGGAAACATTTATGATCTAATACTCCCTGCACGACCCTACCCCTTGAGTACTTTGGTTCCATCTGGCACTCTGGAATAAATGTACTAAGATGTGCCATAAAACATTTCAAGAACTTTTTCTTGACCATTGTACTCAATGATCCCATGTCAGTTTTGTTACCAAATTTCTCAAGTTCAGCTGCTAATCTCCCACAGAGCCAATACTCAGGACAGGAATTTTGATGGAGGGGAATATGGGCTTTCCTGGGAAGGAGGCAGACCCTTGCCCACACACAACT